CCCCAAAACCCCAAAACCCCAAAACCCCGTTAAGGAGTATGAAAGTTGAACAGCTTATTAGGTTTTGAAGGGGATAGAAGAAGATTATGAGAAATTGGGAGTTTGACTGGAAAAGTATTAGTTAGGGTGTTAATCAGCATTATTTGGCAAGTTTTAAATAAGGAAGATGTGGTTAAAATATTTTTGAGCAGTTTTACGGTGTGATTGGTTTATCAAGTCTTTAAGAAATTTCTGGAATATCAAATATTTTCAATTTAGTGTAGGTAAATGATTTTAATTTACAAGTGTTTAATCTAACACTTCTATCTCATTGCAGTTGTAAATTCAAAATAGTTTGACACTATTTAAAGTGCTCAATTTGCTCTCAAAATTTGTTCGAATGAAAAATCATCTATACAAAACTCAAACTATTATTATTTCGTTCATTCTAAAAATTGTCCAAACTTCTTTGATTCGAAATTGTAGATTTTATGACCAAATGTTGGACTTCATAAGCTCTTATTACCAAATTTGTTTTCCAAATATTCAAATGTTAATAATCTTCAAATGCTTCTCTGAATTCTTCATATTCTGATTCATTGAACTTTGAAGGACTTATTGTAAGAAGGAACTTTTCTAATTCTTCAAATAAGCCATCTGGAATAACAATATCGTTTAAGTCTTTTTCAAATACGGTTGGGCTATTCTGCAATGTTTTGAGAGGATTCTTAATAATGTACTCACTAATCTTGCATATATATGAGTAGCCATAATCTTCAGTAGAATCTAAAATTTTCTCAATTTCTTCGGGAGTAAAGAACGATTCCAAATTAGGAACATCATTCTTGAGCATAGAGAGTCTTTCATCTCTGTTCGAAAGTTTGCAATAAATTCTCTTATTGGCTTTCCTTACTATAGAATCTCTAACATTCCAAGGAGACTCAGTTGTTAGAATAGTAATATAATGAGGGGATCAGGAATCCCTCCAGTTATTATTAAAAACTGAGTTCAGGCTCTCCTTATGCAATCATCAGGATCTACAGTTAAATTTTCAATATTTCTAATGCAGATGATCTTGTTTTATTAATCTGAATTTTCTGCGTAAGTGCTGATCATCCATTCTTCAAAGGTCTGGGATTCATCTGGTCTAATTGTGTTCCATTCATCTTCCGACTTCGGTCAATCAATTGCGACAACTCTTCAATCTGCTTCTTTAACAACCATTTTAATTAGATAGTCTTTTCCAGAACCTTTAGGGCCATATAACAAAAGAGTTTTAGGCCATAGATGAGGGGATTCTTGCAGTAGTGTTATTCCTTCAAGAAGATCACGTTTTCCCTCCTCTTTACCAATTATGTAATCGAGAGGTTGCTTTTCTTTATTCTGGACTTTCTCAGAAGTACCCAATATGTCAGCACTTTGGTCTTCATTGGGGTCATCACTTAAAATTTTAGGAGGTGACTTTGATTCTTCCTCCATTATTTGTTTTTATTCCAATTTTAAATTTAATAAATGGGGTTTTGGGGTTTTGGGGTTTTGGGG